AACTGACAGCGATAACAACAGTGGCTTGCTGCAAAAAAGTCTAGAAGGAGAAAACACAACTCTACGCCAGCAATCGAACATCGAGAGCCTTGACGTGCACAGCAAAGACAATGAGAAACAGACGACGTCAGCTGATGACGGCATCGCGCCTACACCTATGCAACCGCTAGCACCTCCTGCCGAATTATCACAAAGCCAAAAACCAAAACAAAAGCGTTTACACTCTGCAAAAACAAGCTCTGGCTCAACGAGAAGTAAAACTGACTCAGTCTCAGCTAACTCAGACGACGATTACAAAGCTATTGTGAGAAAAGATACAAAAAAGATGATAAAAATTACGGTCTCTCGTACAGCAGAAGAAATACGCGAATTGGGCAAGGTTGTTCTCCCCTTTATTGACTCCAGCGAAAACAAAAATAAAGAGATTTATCCTATCACATATGACTCGCTTTTTGAGTTTATAGCTAAAACTTACGGAGTTTCTGGCACCAACATACTTGAACTATCGCAAACTTTCACGGATAAAAAAAAAACAATTACTCGTCATGCTTAACGACTTTCATGCTGTAGACAGCTTAGATCGTTACTTAAAAAGAAGAATTACTCGTATAATTAAATCTATTAGAGAAAACGTGCCATTAGAGCAGATGTATCTGAGTGACAGCTCTGTAGATTTTCTTTAAATATAAGTTTAATATAAAATGGCCACTAATATTACCACACAACTAAGAGTGATGTATTGGAATGCGCGTAGTGTTAAGCTGCGCGAAGCAGAACTTATAAGACTGCTAATAGATTATGAATTATTTATATGTGTTGAATCTTGGCTTTCAAAAGAAGACGAAAACGAAGACTTCAAAATAACTGGCTTCAAAACTATAACTCTCAACAGAACACACTCTCCTGGTGGAGGAATTCTCTTTTTAATACGCCAAGGTTTTAATTATGAAATAATTGATAACATCTCTACTCAAACAGATAAACTAGAACTCTTCGGAATAAGCATTACAAACGTCGAACCTAAAATAAATTTTGTGGCCTGCTATAGAATACCCAAACCGGGTGTTATTCTTACTCAAGATGAATGGAATGCAATTGGAGATACAACAGACTTAAATGAGAACACCATTTTGATCGGAGACTTCAATTCGCATAATATAAGGTGGAATTGTAAAAAAACGGACAAAAATGGCGAAAGATTGGAGTATACCATAGACTTAAAAAATCTGTATCTACACAATACAAGTTCAGACACACACATTGACGTACGTAGTGGTATTACTTCCAACATTGATCTCGTTGCTTCCACAATGCCTATAGCTGACCGCATACAACTGCGAGTTTGTGATGAAACATACGGTTCCGATCACTTTCCCATCTTTTTCACAATTGATGTTAGAAAAAACTTTTACAACAAGAAAACATTTAAAATCACAACCAAAAAGACTGACTGGGCCAAGTTTGTGAAAAATATCAACGAAAAATATGACGTCTCTCTCACCAAGCACTATGATGACCTTTCTCCTTCGCAAAAGTACGACTGCTATGTGGACACCGTCAAGGAAGCCATCAAGAAAGCTACACCGGAAAAGTGACCTCTTGGAATACACAAGAAGACAAACCCCGTTTCCTGGTGGGACGACGAGTGCAATAAAGTGAAAAGACTCAGACGTGCTGCGTGGAAAAAGTGGCAATATTCAGGTGAATTAAAAGACCTAATTGAGTATAACAAAAGTTGTGCCTTGTGTAAGAAAACTTGTAAACTTAAAAAAATTGAAAATTTCAAAGAGTTTGCACAGAGCATCAATCTTCGTTCTAGTCCGATTCACGTTTAAAAATAAATGGGTTAAAGTCAACTATAACAACTCTGTTTCAAATAATAATGAAAAATTTGATGAATTGAAAAAAGAATGCTTAAGCAAGTTAAGTCCACCTTGGGCAGTTACTGATCCGTCATGGATACCTCCCAGTCGAAAGAATACATTTTTTGATAACATTTTTAACTTTGCTGAGTTCAATATAGCCCTCGATAGTTGCAAAAAAAAGTCTTCCCCGGGTATGGACGGTATCGATTATGAAATTATACATCAACTCCCCCTTAAATTTAAATTGTTATTGTTAGATATTTATAATGAAATTCACACTAGTAGTTCCTTTCCAGCTAGCTGGAAAGAAACTTATGTACATTTAATTCCAACTGCTAACGGCAAAAAAGTACGACCGATCTCACTAACATCCTACCTGTGCAAACTCTTTGAAACACTTATTAAAAATCGACTACAGTTTTGGGTAGAGAAAAATAATATTTACCAAACAGTCAATCAGGATTCCACAAAGGCAGATCCTGTATCGACAATGTGTCTAATCTTACGTTAAATGTAGATGAAGCTTTTAAAGAAAAACAGTAAGTTATTGGTGCTGTCCTTGATGTTTCGGGAGCGTTTAATCACGTAATAAGTGATGTTCTATTGGACACGTTGGCAAATATTGAGTGCTCACCACAAATAATTAAGTTTACAAAATTCTTAACTCACGACAGATACGTAAACTCTAGCGTAAATGGTTATGAGAGACGTAAAGCACACAAAGGTGTTCCTCAAGGAGGAGTACTTACTCCTCTCTACTATACATACTTCTCTACTATACATTCTCTCTATATACATTATCTATGTTTCTAATATAACCAAAGGTATTCCTAGGAATATAATTGTTTCACAATTTGCAGATGATATAGCTATTTACACAAAATTTTTATCTCTCACTAAAAGTGCTATTGAAATAGAAAATTCTTTAAAAATACTCATTGAAAATCTTTACTATATTGGACTGGAAATCGCACCAGAAAAAACTGTCCTCTTACACTTTAACAACAAAAATATCCCTCCTGGCTCTACAACAATTAATATTAATAATACTGAAATAAAGTCAAGTGAAACAGCTAAATTTTTGGGAATTACCTTTGATTACAGACTCACATGTAACCATCAGGTTAACAATGTTATAACTAGATGCAATAGAGCCATGAATATAATTAAATTTTTGAGAGGAACATGGTGGGGATCAGATCCCCAGACCCTTATTACATTGTACAAAAGTTTTGTTCGATCAATAATAGAGTATGGCAGCTTTGTTTATTTTCCAATTAGAAAAGATACTGGATATAAAATTGAAAGAATACAGTTTCAAGCAATTAGACTCGCTCTAGGGTACAGAAGATCTACTCCTATCAATATACTGCTTGCCGAATCAAAGCTGCCTCTTCTTATTGATCGAGCAAAACTATTAGCAAAACGATACATTACAAATGTTTGTTCTAATAAAAAATCCATGCTATATTCATATTTTAACTATAATGTTCGACCAAGCAACAGAAAAAGAAAACGCCTTTTAATTCAATGTGGGCTGTATGTCAGAGATCTCACAGAATGTTACATGGTCACACACAACAACTTTCCAGTGTACGATTTTGATTATGATACAATCATTACTTCCGTTCCTATAGATACAGAGCTTGGAAAGCAAGCTAAAAACAGTCAAAATCCTAATCTAATTATCGACCAAGTGATAAAAGAAAATAATGCAGTAGCAATATACACCGATGGAAGTAAAGAAAAAGGTAAACCGCATGTAGGTTGTTCCTGCTATTTATCAGACACAAAAGAAACAGTTTAAAAAAGTATAAATTCTTTCGCATCGGTGTATACGGCTGAATACATTGCATTGAAAAATGGTATGAATCTGGCTCTTCAACGGGTAGACAGTAACGTGTTCATTTTCTGTGATTCACTTAGTGTACTTCAAATTATTAATAACACAAAAATAAGTTCCTTAACCAATCAAACAATTTTTGAAATCAAGAAAAAATACATTGAATTTACACACACAAACCCCAATAGTTTAATAAAGTTCTTTTGGATTCCATCACATATAGGAATCATAGGAAATGAACACGTTGATTTATCAGCAAAAGAGGCTACAAACATAGGTATCTGTAATGTTATTCAAGTCCCTCATACAGATTTTTATGAACATTACAAGAAAAGTGCAATAACAGAATCTAAAGCATTCATAGTAAACGAAGGCTTAACCAAAGGGATTAGGTACTTTCAAAACTTTTACACTGACACAGCCAAACCATGGTATTATAACAAAAATCTTACAAGAGAACTCATTGTAACTGTCAACCGTTGCAGAGCCAACCACTATAGTCTAAATGAATCACTCTTTCGCATAAATGTAGTCAATTCACCGCTCCGTAAATGTGAACAGGCACATCAAAACATAATCCACATCTTATGGCAATGTCCACTTTACAATAAGGAAAGAGTAGAATTTTTACAAGAGCTCTCTAAAATAGATTTGCGACTGCCACTCAATGTTGACAATTTAATTAGCCAACCAAATGTATCAGCTTGCCTAGCTATGGTAAAATATATTAAAAAATGCAAATTGAATATCTAACGATAGCGTTACAGAATGTCAATATCTAAATTTTTGTAATCTGCCATTGTAAAGCAGAATAACCTAGCTTTTTAAGGTTCAAATGCTTTAATAAAAAAAAAAAAAAATTTCATAAAGAGTGGGGGGTTCACAGTTCTTAGTCAAATTAAGATTTCATTAGCCGACTCCTTTCTCCTTCTTTTTTTCATCATGAACTCTCGTATGTATACGTTTTTTATTTATGAATTATCATTTAATAATTTTATAGATAAACCCGTCACTTAAAAAAAATTAAAATGAAAAATTAGCTACAAAATAGTACAACACCTAGACCCTTACTCATACCTCTCTTTTAGCGTTAAGAGACGTCTATTAGTCGTTAAAAGACAGCAGATAAGAGAGACCTTACTCATACCTCTCTCTTAATCCACTATTATAGAAAAATCGCTAAAAGACGCTATAAGAGACGTAGGAACGTAGGAATAGGAACGTTTCCTACTCATACCTATATTATACCGGCACTATTATATCGCTATTACCAGCTGTTAAAATCAGTCAAAATGGAGTCCGTCGACGATGTAGACAACATCGCCGATGTGCGTGAAGTGAATGCGATGCGATAAGATTATCCGAAAGTTTTTCGTGATCGAATTGATCCATTTGAAGTGTATAATGATCGTGAATTTCGTAACCGGTACCGCTTATCTAAGGACTGCGTACGTTTTGTCGTTGGATTGGTGCAAGAGAGGTTAGAGTCTCCGACCGACCGTTCAAGTGACTGCTCACCAACGCTCCAACTCCTCATCGCTTTGAGATATTATGCGAAAGGGTGATACCAAAGCGAAATAGGTAAGTAATTTTATTTGAAATTATTGCATGCAAAGAAAATCTACCTATTGCTATTTTTCCTAGCTCAGCTTATATTTGTAGGGGATCTGCATGGCTTTTCGCAACAGACAGTATCAAAGATAGTACATGCCGTCTCAGAAGCAACTGCAGGATTATTTCCTTGCTTTATTGCATTTTCTCAACAGGTAGAAGCAATTCAGATAGGCTTGTATAATTTGGCACAATTCCCTCAAGCTGTGGGCTGCATTGATTGTACGCATGTACCAATCAAAAGTCCTGGCAGGGAAGTTGCACAATTGTATATCAATAGGAAAGACTACTACTCGTTGAATGTGCAAATAGTGTGCGATGCTCACAGACGTATCCTTGATATTGTTGCTCGATGGCGAGGCAGTGTGCACGACGCTCGCATATGGGATAACTGCTCCCTCAAGGATGAGTTCAAGGTAAATAAAATAAAATCTAATAATAATGAGTGTTCTCATTGTACAAACATTTTCATACAATTATTTTCTAGTTGCAGAGTTCCAAAATTAAGGGGGTTTTGCTTGGAGATTCCGGATATCCATACAAGTTCTACCTTTTAACACCGTTTTTAAGGCCTCGAACCCCTGCTGAGGAGCGTTACAACGCATCCCATGTGCAAACCCGGAACGTCGTGGAACACTGCTTCGGAGAGTGAAAGGGCATGTTTCGTGCCCTGAGGAACGGCATGCAGATTTCTCTGCCAACAGCGAGGACAGCCATTGTTGCAATGGCTGTCCTATATAACATCCGACACGAGTTTGGTGACACCAACGTATATGGTAGAATTATTTTCAGTATATTGGAAGTATATACAATAGAAATATTGTTCGTATATGTAATAGGAATCATTTTTCAGATCCAGAAGACGATGAGGGGGCGGAGCAGCCGGCGGAAGAGGATGTCAGCCCAACTACGGAAGAACCTACATCTACATCTAGATCTACATTGGTTGCTGGCAGTCTCTTCCGTCAGCAGTTTGTGCAGCATAATAGTGGTCTTAAAAGAAGGTATGAGTACGGCGTCTCTTAACAGCGGTCTAGTCGTCTTGAACTAAAAGATGGTTAATAGCGATTATAAGAGAGAGGTATGAGTAAGGGTCTTAGTAAACGCTCGGTTTTAAAAACGATTTTCTCTTTCTTGATTGGAGGATCCAATGGAATTAGGTAAATATACAATTGAATGTCTTATTGCTTATTTATTCCGTGTTACGTGATCCGTTGCATTGTAGAATGGCTTTAAGTATAACTCCCTATACAAGCTAACACTCTATAAAAAGTTCGATATTTATTCTGAATCACCCTGTATATGTTTCACTGATTTCTCAAAATTAAGTAATTAATTTTACAGAAAATTAAAAAAATAACATCTTGTCTCTCAGCCTCGAGATATAGTTGAAATATTTCTTATTTCTTTGAGACGCTTGCTGAGAAATATTTGTAATTATACTCGAGGGTGAGAGACCAAAGTTTATATTTAAATTTATGTAACTACAATTTTCATTGAATTTTTAGAAATTAATGAATTAATTAGTGAACAATTTCAGTCTTCAATAGAAATGAAGAAAAACTCAAATGAAAATGCCGAATTGTCTCCTGAGACAGGAGTATATGTGAACCCTTTAAGCTGAGAGTTAAAAAGATTTAAAAACAATCCTCTAACATTAATTGCAAGATTATTATTGGAGTTGGTGTGGGAAGATAGTCTGAAAACTGTCTGCATTGGGGCAAAATAAAAGAACGGAAATTCCCCTAAACATAAGGGTGGCTGTGTTACATGTGTATAATGCAAAAATATTGGTAAAGTGTGGGCCCACACTACACCCAGACAAGATCTTAATCCTCGTCCCATATTATTCCCATTCTATCCCCACACAAATCATTTTTACGCGGGAAAACTTTGTAAGATCCCGTTTAATATAACCTGACTAGAATCCAACTTGCCATCATTAAATTCCATCTTGGAATCTCCCAAGATGCCTGATTCGATCCCGGACTGAAGCTGTGGATGGTAGCCGGTATCCGGCCGGATCCCGAGCGCAATTTCTTCACGGGTGAAAGCGCCATATAGCCATTGATGATGAATCAAACGAGGATTCAGTGTTTACTTGCCATAATTGCTCAAACATTACTTGGCTTTCATACCCTGTACGTCAAGTGTACGTACACTCTATTGCAGTGTGAAGTGTCGTACCAAGACATATAATAATCACAAATATGAATGTGATGTATGGAATTGCAGGAGAATATCCTGTCAGGATGTCGACCAAGCAGCCAGGTGAAGAAAACAAGATGGAGTTAACTACAACGTTTCGACCTCTTTGGAGGTCTTCCTCAGGTAGGAATCTGTATTAATATAAGCAGTCACTGCTTTACATGTAAATTTAAACGTCTAACAATGCAGTAAAATTAAATAGTTTTGATGATTACGAAAATGATACCTTAAGTGTGTAAAATTATAAATGACCGCGTTTGTGTTCTAATAAGCAAGTATGAAAATATATGCCAGTATGTCCTATATAGCATTGTATTGTCTAGTTAATAATTATTACGGAACCCGCAGACGATCCCGATTTATTAAAAACAAGAAAAATATTACTGAATATAAAAATAATATAAGAATTTGTAAATAACTAAACACGGTAAAGAACAACGGTTCCAAAATAATTTATAAAACCCAGGGTAATAATAGAGACGGGAAAACGTTCCGAAAGATACACGCGTACGGGAACAACGGTTCCTCGACAACCTAGAACGCGTGAATAATAATCAATTCGAACAACTGGCCTATAAGGAATACAATAGATGACTAGTTTAAAACAGTTAATGTCGTAGGGACCAACGGACGGGCACTTATAATTCCAATAATAAGGAATAACGATTCCTTACGTAACACAAATAATAAAACTCGAAAGGATTAGACGGATCAGAATCCTTTACGATAAACTCGGAATTATTTCCTGGAAGTACGGACGCTTCCGGCAACAACACGTGCATTACGTAATGCACGCGCAACGAGTAGAAACAGTAATATTTACAAAATCAGCTGACGAGTGGCCTAGTTCCAGACTTGTCGGCCTCAAAATATTTACAAATTCGAACGCGGTAGCAGTAACGGTACTTGACCTCCTGTCAGGTCACCTAATATACAGAATTCTTAGATTCCCCGCTGGGAATCTAGATCTTTCGCTTGTCGTCAAGCACGTGCAGCCTCTATTTCGTCACGAATAATCCTAAAGTCAGAATCAGCTCCGGAGACATATTTACCTACTGAAACTATCAGTCAGGAAATACGCAATCACCTAGCTGCCTTCCTAGCATCCATAAACTTATCGCCGGGAGAAAAACGTACCACTGCGCGGCATTTACACTACACGACACACGACTGAAACGATTATGCGTAACGTGGATTAAATAGGTAGGTTTTGCGTGCAATTTCTTGTAGCATGTTCTACGAATAATCAAACATAAAACTAAAGACGCAACATCGATAGAAGTTAACGGATCCTGTCGATCGTGCAGGCGGAAGGCGACGCGTGCTGTCTGGATCGAAGATCCACCAGCTAAATCTATGGTCCCGTTAATCTTGATCAATTACAAAATTAATGAGCTCGGTAGCGCCACTCATTCCGAATCGCCGTTGCCAAGTTGTCTAGCTCCTGTCTATCCATGTTCAGCTCTCTCGCTCTCTCTCTTACTACTTTCGATAACTCTTACGCTTTCAAACTCGCCCGGTAACGTGCCCTAGTAGCGCGGAGAAATATTACCCTCGGGTCCAATCAAATTTGCGCTAGCCCCTACGCGGCCCAATTCGCTCGCGATCTCCAATTGTTTTCTCGAGCCTAGAAAAATAAATCCGAGCATCTTCTCCTCTTCTGAGCCTTTGCAGTGTCTTTCTCGGGGCGGGAATCACATCCGCACCCTATCCCTCGTTGTGCGGCTTCAGGCCACCACTGCAACCCAATGCATCTAGAATCCTGGATCATCTTGTGGCGTCCTTCTGCGTAGGCGGCCTCGCTCAGTGGTGCTCTTCGGTCGCACTGACCCTCCTCCTGTTGGCTACGTCACGCCAGTGCCGCTGGGCGCATTGATTCGACCTCTCTGCCGTAGTCAAGGCCGGTGTTGGTGTATCACGGCCCTCGTTACTTCTGAATTTTCGTGCCGGTTTCCTTACGGGACCGACCACCGCTTGTAAAACACAAAATATACATCTCGAAGGTAATTAATACATGTTATTAATACTAAATTCAGTTCACGCTCGACGCAAATGTTATGTTGCCCTGCGGACCTCACAGTGTAGCTCTTTCTATCGCCTAGTCCCTATCTCTTTGTGACGTGCACAAAGTGCCATGTCACAATATTTATATATATATCGTTATGCCTCACGATAGGATTCGTCGTATAGTTAATCTCCAGACGCAAAGTCAGCATTAGACAAATGCTGACCCTATGCATAAGGCGTTAAGATAAAAGCGATGAGAGACACCTTGTGAGCCACAGTGGTCACTCGCAAAGTTCCTAGCTAAGAGTGAAGTCCTGGAGCGTAATTCATAGTTGTGAATAATTAGTATCATTGTGCCTACTCCCATTAGATTTGTGTGACCTTAGTATTTACATTATACCAACTTCAATAAACTACAATAGTTCTCTATATAATTCCAAATCCTAAAGAACTCATGACGGCATAACAATATATAGGAACAAAAAAATACAGCTCGAATCAATCCTATATATCCTTAAAATTTAACATTTAACATAAATACCACGCACCCATTTCACACTCCTTCTCACTACTATAATATACATATAGATGTATAATCTGATTATAACATCAACTGATATTCTTTGGAAATCCACATGAACGACTTAAATTTTAACAACTAGAAATAACAAAATCAACCATCCGTTGTCGATGAAGTCTTGATAATTGTACATAATTAACCTTTTCGCTACGGGCGACTTCTCCGCCGTGGTATTTCCGCTGAACGTGCCGCCGCGCCCAAAATGTGCACGGTGCTCGAGTAAAATCGGCAGCGGCAGCGTTTACGCTTCACGGCAACCCGAGTTGGTTTGACGGTGTTTATTGAAAAAAAACTCCACAAATTAAAATATTTATAACATTTAAACATATTAACTTTTTATTAAACTTTGAAATTAGAGAATATAATTGTAAGATAATAATTACAGTTAATAATGATATTGTGTATGATATTGTTCGAAAGATGGTATTACGCATAGACCAACATCGCAAATTTGGCATTGGTATCGCGATTCGCTCCACCTGTCATTTTTTGCACATACAACGCACTTTCGCAATGGATTTTTTCGTTTTGCAGTTGCACTTGTATACAGCGAATGAAAGTGTCTTACAGTTAGCCGAAGTGGATTTGTTTGTCCTGATTTATTTGAAATATTGTTGTTTGTTTTTTGCAGATAGTGATTTAAAAGTTGCCGAATTAATTGTAAGTAAAAATTTGCCGTTGATATATCTTTACCAATTTTAAATTTGTATGAGCAGTAAGCGTTCCATACGCATATATCTATTAAATGAAAAAAGTATTTTTTATACCATTTCATATGTTTTCGCTGTGAATGAATTGTGCTAATAATCATGTCCGTTTTGTCAACACTTCCCATTAATCGATTATAATCGACAACACACTTTGGTTTCGTTATCATTTCGTGTGTGCGATAATGCCGTTTCGTGTCGACAAATTCCTCATTCTGAAAAGTGGACAACATATACACTTCCCTCTTGTCACACCATTTCATAGTCAATAGAATATCAGAGGAGCGGAAACTCGCTTCACCTTTTTTTAATTTAGCCTGCAGAACTGGCATACCCTTTCGTCGTTTTCGGACTGTTCTGCAAGCATTAGTTCCATTTTGATTTAAAAGAGTAAAAAGGGCCGGACTTGTGTAACAATTATCCACATATAAAGTATGGCCTTTATTTAAATACGGTTTCAATAATTCCATAACTACAGTGCCCGATTTCCCAATAATTTCATTTTTGCTACTTATAGTCAATCCTCCACTATAAATTATAAAATCTTGTATGAATCCAGATTTAGTATCACATAAAACGAATGATTTGATCCCAAATCTGTTTCGTTTAGAAGGAATGTACTGTTTAAATGACTGTCTTCTTTTATACATAAGTAAACTCTCATCAATGTATAAGTTTTCAAAAGGGTAAAATACGTTTTGAAAACTTTGTCGAAGAATATTTCAAATTTCCTGTATTTTATATAATTGGTCCCCATCTGTAGTTACTTCATTAGAATTAAAATGTAAAACTTTTAACGTAAACAAAAGGTAAGCTAAAGCCTAGATTAGAGATACTAGAATGAAACTAACCTGCTAACTAGAATGAAACTACTTATGCCTAATAGAGGACATCTACAGGATATTATGATGCCATTTATAATTTTACATATGTAAGGTAACACTTTCGTAATCATCAAACTATTTAATTTTAGTGCATTGTTAGACGTTTAAATTTGCATGTAAAGCAGTGGCTGTTTACATTAATACAGATTCCTACCTGAGGAAGGCCTCCAAAGGGGTCGAAACGTTGTAATTAACTACATCTCGTTTTTTTTCACCTGTCTACTTGGTCGACAACTTGACAGGATATTCTCCTGCAATTCCATACATCGAATTCATATTTGTAATTATTATATGCTTTGGTACGACACTTCGACACTTTGCAACGAGAGCCAAGTAGCGTTTGAGGCAACTATGGCAAGTAAACACTGAATCCTCGTCTGATTCATCAACAATGGCTATATGGGGTTTCTGCTGGGGCTATATGGTTTCTGTCTTATGGTATAAAGACGACGAGTATTTTGGATTTTCTCAGAAAGGATGACAGCATTGCTTGCACCAGGTGTTTTTGAATTTTCGCCACAGGCTAAAATAGGGCAATCCTCATGGAATTTCTTTGTCGATTTGCCCATCTTTGATTGTTTCACCAGATGCGATTGCAGTTTATTTATGCGAGTATTCAATTCTTTCTTTAAATCCTCTGAAATGGGACATATTAACGCCCTCTTTTCATCCACTATGTATCGCAATACCTTCATTTGCTATAATAATGAGCATTCTCAATGCTGCTGTGAATTCGACAGTCTCGCATGCCGAAACATTGCATTCACATTTGTGATTATTATATGCCTTGGTACAACACTTCACACTGTAGTAGAGTGTATGTGCATATGAAGTACAAGGTATGGAGGACAAGTAGTGTTTGAAGCAATCATGGCAAGTAAACATTGAATCCTCATCTGATTCATCACCAATGGCTATATGGCGCGTTCACCCGAGCAGAAATTACACTCGGGATCCGGCCGGATACCGGCTACCATCCACAGCTTCAGTCGTGTGAAATAAGCTGGATCCACCACATTTGATTTTTTCAACCGGCACTATTGCATAATTTAGGGCCCATGTAGGGCTAATTTTGGATCTTCATGAGCAGATTAATAGTGATGGGAATCGCAACTCGCAAAAATCGCAAAGTGGCCGGAATGTAAGCCCTTAATTAATAATAATTTTAAAGTCATTCAGAATAATAAGGAACATGGTCCAGACAATTAACTTGTGTTGGGGGTTGTTTTTTGGGGTCTAGGGGTACAACCCAAAAATCGGAAAGTGTTGGGAATATAAGCCCTTAATTAATAATGATTTTTAAAGTCATTCAGAATAATAAAAAACATAGTAGCACACGTCCAGACAATTAATTTGTGTTGGGGATTGTTTTTCTGGAGCCTAGGGATGCAGCCCAAAAATCGCAGGCTTTAAAATTGAAGTTTATAGCCTGTTATAACTTTATAATGCATAAAAAACAGTTTCCAAATCTTGACTTGAAATAACATAAGAAAAGTATGTAAGGGGTGGTTTTTTTAAAGAAGAGATGGTCCGATTTAATTGCGACTAGGCGCATTTGGCAGCCCTTAAATAGTCCAAAAGTATGATGTATAATAAGTTGAGGTTATGATTACAGATGAGTGAGAACGAGTATGGAAAGAAGAATCCAAAGCCTCCTCAAAAGAAAAGAGACAATGTATCTTCCAGACCTTAACCATCGGAAGAAGTCTCACCACCAACGCACAAATCGGCAAACCCAACTCGACAACGTAATGAGTCTATCATTGCTGAGTCTATCTTCGGCGTCGACGTGCGAGTGACGGAGATCGCTCCTAGGCAAAGTTTTACTACTAACTTCCGCAAAGTAGTTGATATAGCCGCTGAGACATTTGACGCATTCCGACCGGATGAAAAACAACTCGAAAGAGTTCTCGCCCGCGAAGAATTCGCCTATTATTCAACAGCGCTTTTACAGCTAAAGCTAATTGAAGTTAAAAGTAAACAAGGAGTCGAAGCTCTGATAAGCGCTAAAAAAGGCATTCGAAAAGCTACGGCTGAACTCGAGTTCAATGTCCCTTAGCCAATAAGCGCGTACTTATCCGAAATCGGAACGTACACAGACAAATTGGAAAAGGAAACGTTGCTTAACGCACCGCCCCTACCAACGACTGTAGTACAGGGATTCGGTGGGTATCACGCAAACGCTGTCAATTCTGATACGCATAATTTATTCGAGGAAGTTCCATTACTCGGCATCGCTGGGGACATGGTAATGGCACTCGCTTCACAAGAACTGGAGCCAACGCAAAACTTCCATATAACGAAACCTGCAAATTCAGAGTTCACAGTAGGACTAGCAAACAAAGTTTGTCCAATTGGTCCACGAAGACCAGAGAATGGACAACGCCTTGCTTTCCACGCTCGAGAACATGTGGGGACCACAACACATCCACCCCTTAAGGGGGTGAGCCCTAAAATCAAATAAGGGGTCTAAAATTAGCCCTCAATGGGCCCCAAATTATGGAATAGTTTCAGTTGAAAAAATCAAATGTGGTGGACCCAGCTTATTTCACATGCTTTAGTCTGGGATCGAATTAGGCATCATGACAGATTCCAAGATGGAATGTAATGATGGCAAGTTGGATTCTAGTCAAGTTACCTTAAACGGAATCTTACAATGACTGCAGAGCGGTTCCATTTCGTATTTCATAGGAACTCCAGATCGGATTTTATAGGGACTCTTCTACAGCGATTCCAAATCAGATTTTAATTCACATTTTTTATTCGGCTCAACTTTTGTGATTTATTATGATTCGAGTATCTATTAAGTATCTGTCGGGTATATACAAATTCGGGTATGTCACAATCAATTTCTGAAGCATCAGAAACGGCTAATTATTCTCTGGATTCTCCGATTTTGCTTGCGAGTTACATTGGCCACCTGGTGGCGCGACAGCGAACTAGTGCTCGCTCGTATACCCCTGTATTGTTTAGGGACTCCTGTCATACAATGGTCTCATTAATTCACTTGTAATATGATTTTTAGTCCTGAAATGAAATATCAATGTACCGAGTATATAAATTAAATATCGAGTATATAAATTTTCGTTTACATTTTCTAAATTTCCTATACTAACTAGTAAATTAACTATTCATTGTATATTATTTTCACCTCTGTGAAGTTGGCCCCTCATTATGAAAATTTATTTAAAAAAGTTAGAGTTCTACTTGCCCCCGGAAGAGTTCCAGAGTTCCTGATAGTTTTTAGAAATAGTTCTGTCGATTAAATGCAAAAAATTGCGATATTTGGAAATGCGGGGCCAACTTCACGGCGCCCCCCATTTTTGAAAAAATGTAATTTTTTTGACAGTTCTGAATAGATTAACAGTAGTTCTACAGTTCTCTGCACTTTTCATCAATAGTTCCGGTCATTATCCGCTTCAAAATAAAGTTTGAAAAAATACGTCAGCCCCCCATCTTTTAAAAAATCGTATTTTTTTTAGTGTTCCGAATAGTTCTCAAAGAGTTCTACAGTTCTCTATAGGTTTTGGGTACAATACATATCCAAATTTCGTCAAAAAATCATGTTGGAAAAAGTATTTCAAAAAATCAATTAATCGTATAAAATCCGATACCCCCAGAATACTCGATGGATTAATGAAGTCCAGGTATTCGTTTTGTAGAACTCTTTGAGAACTATCCGGAACTCCCATCAGAACTCCCGGAACTTTTAATTTTTTTTTTCCAAATTAACCCCACACGATGGAGAATCTTCAAAGTGCCAGAACTCTTTCAATTTTAATTTCTCAGCTTTTTGCCATAGGAATTATCGATAGAACTTTTTGAGAACTATCCGGAACTCCCATCAGAACTCCTAGAACTTTTCATTTTTTTTTTTCGAATTTACCCTACTTGCGATGGAAAATAATCAAAGTCCTAGAACTCTTTCAATTTTAATTTCTCAGCTTTTTGCCATAAGGAATTATCGATAGAACTCTTTGAGAACTATCCGGAACTCCCATCAGAACTCCCGGAACTCTTCTTTTTTTTCTTTTTCAAATCTATCCCACTTGCGATGGAGAATTTTCAAAGTCCCAGAGCTCTTTCAATTTTAATTCCTCATCTTTTTACCATCGGAATTATCGATAGAACTCTTTGAGAACTATCCGGAACTCCCATCAGAACTCCCGGAACTCTTCTTTTTTTTCTTTTTCAAATCTATCCCACTTGCGATGGAGAATTTTCAAAGTCCCAGAGCTCTTTCAATTTTAATTCCTCATCTTTTTACCATCGGAATTATCGATAGAACTCTTTGAGAACTATCCAGAACTCCCATCAGAACTCCTGGAACTCTTCATTCATTTTTTTTCTAGAACCTACCCTACTTACTACGCAGTATGTTCGAAGTCACATAACTCTTTCAATTTTAATTTCTCAGCTTTTTGCCATAAGAATTATCGACAGAACTCTTCGAGAACTATCCAGAACTCCCATCAGAACTCCTGGAACTCTTCATTCATTTTTTTTACTTGCGATGGAGAATTTTCAAAGTCCCAGAACTCTTTCAATTTTAATTTCTCATCTTTTTACCATAAGGAATTATCGATAGAACTCTTTGAGAACTATCCAGAACTCCCATCAGAACTCCTGGAACTCTTCATTCATTTTTTTTCTAGAACCTACCCTACTTACTACGCAGTATGTTCGAAGTCACATAACTCTTTCAATT